ATGTAAGAGAATAAAGTCGTATGAGAATAAAGTCATTATTTTAGTCTATAGTTAGGCCTATATCAGAGGAGCAACAGCTGGCTGTTCAAAAAGGAGGAACGTGAATCATCTTGTGATGTTATACTTTATATAGGTTTTTAAAACAAGGAAATACTTCATCTGTTGGCACATCAGCATCACATTATCATGAGTATCAGGACCCCGAAAAGATACTTCAAGAAACTGGGGCAGAGGAAATGGCTTTGAGGGTTTCCCCTTTCATCATTTTCCCACAGCTGCTCTTTCGATACAACCTTTCAGAATAAACTTTAACCTTACAGAAATCCATTTAAGGTTTTATCCTCATAAATTCACGACTTCTTAAAAATGTACAACTTTAATCTTGACATTTAAGATTTTTTTTTCTTTACGTGGCCCTAACACTCCATCGTACCGGACTGCAGATTCATAGAGGAGGTTTTTCATTTGGCAGAAAAAAGTCACCTGTTGGACAAACTCTGATCTGTTTCATGGTCACAAATTAAGGAAAATGTGAACGGTGTGGGAATCTTACAGCGTCTCTGAAAGATCAGCATCAATTCAGTTTGTAAGAAACGATCCAGTGACATTAAAGAGGAGAGAATACTAACAAGAATTTAAACACATCAAGTCACAAACTCGTTTAAAAAACACAAAGAGACACAAAGACTTTTGAAGAAGATGGGTAAAAACATTAACTAGAACAGCAATCAGCTCAATTATTTTAACATCAGTATTAGCCTTGATTTTCACATTCAGTGCATCTCTAGTTAAAAGGCCCGACATCCCTTCAAAACATCCCTTCTTTGAGTTTGAAAGAAGGCAGAGATACATCACTTATAATCCAAATCCAGCCAAATCCTCTGTGTTCTGGAGGTGAAAAGGTTCATCCCCTAATAACTGCAGAACCAGGGAAATCTTCAACCTGGTTAAGTTAATAAAAGTCTATCAATAGCGCTGAGACAAGCCCTGAATGCAAACACTCCCTATCAGCCGTGCCCCTGCAGCACTTGGTTTAGCAGCGAGGGGTGTGTTTGGAATCTTAAAGGAGAGGAACCAGACGCATTATTGAATGCCACTGAAGGGGTCAGAAAGGAAGGTGCACTGAGAGGGATACAGACAGCAGACTGACGGCAGCAAGACCCAACATTGTGCCAAATTTGGGATTGGGATCATTTGAAATACCTCTCCAGGGAAGTGTGCATTCATTTTGTTAATCCGTACCTGTTTCCTGACCTCCAACACCGCAGCTCCAGACTGCTGTATTCTGTGGCAAGTGCTAGTAGAACTGTTGCATCACTCCTTAAAGAATACGAGACATACGGATTTGTCTGCTCCACACAATATGCTAAAGTCTGGAATTAAAGCAGACAGACAGTAATGTCTCTATGTTTGAGATAACTTAAGAAATGTTGATTCAAGTTTAGCCCACATTCACTACGCGATGGATTAACTCCCCGGCTGAGGAAAGCACAGGAATTGAAATGCAAATAAAACGGGATTACTGAGAGAGCATTCAGTCTAGCAGAGCCTCCTCCATTAACGGGGTGGGGGGGGGGGGGATTTCACATCTGAAGATAATGATTATTCACTCCTTACTTATTTTTGGAGCAAGTTAATAACTCTTGTCATCAGCCATTTAAAGACAAATGAGAGTCTCTTGTTGTAAACTCAATACAGCTTGAGTCCCCATTACTCCACACACTCTTAATAAAGCTGCTTTACTGAGGCAGGTAGTAAATGGTAAATGGACTTGAGCTTATATAGTGCTTTTCTAGTCTTCCGACTACTCAAAGTGCTTTTACACCACATGTCACACCCACCCATTCACACACTGATGGTAGTGATCGCTATATAGTATCATCAGAAGTAACCATTCATACACCACCACTGAAGCAGTGGGAGCAATGCAGGGTTAAATGTCTTGCCCAAGGACACATCGGACATGTTACCCAGCTGGGGATTGTACCCTTGACCTTCTGGTTGAGAGGTGGTGACTCTACCAACTGAGCCACAGCCACCCAGTCCCCTATCCCCTATCCCCTCTTGTAAAGTGTCCACCTGATAACAATGCTGACATATCATCAGTGAGATTCAGAACATTTTCTCTCCCCGTACATGGATATGGGATTTATTTTTGCAAGTCAAAAGAGCTGCAACCGAATCCAAAGAAAATGGAGCTAAATGAGAAACTGAATCATCTGAACTTCAAAAGTGTGCGTCCATGCACATCGAGAAGTGTGAAATTTGTAGCTGCAGGGGTGGCACCAACTTGAAAGTAACCAAATAGGAATTCTCTTTCATAGTTTTTTCCGATCTGCAAAAGAAAAGGGAAGGTGTTGACTGACTCTTGTCTTCCTTATTGAAATGTAATTACAGACTTTGAATGTGATTCTGTTTCTTTTGTTGCATCTTCCAATTCTTTAAAAAAAAAAGTTTTGCTGACAAAATTATATAATACTGACAGAATGTAATAATCTCTTTCAGCATGTTTTTCTAAGCTTGATAAAACTTGTTGTCTGTCTTTACACATGGATGCACACCTTGTAATTAATTTCATCTCAGTAATCTGCAGTTACACTGAGGAGTCGTGTCATCTGGCTCATCATTGTCAGACTAAATGTGCCAAGGTCAAGAGTGCCCTCTACTGGCAGAAGGTAAGCATCGCCCTTCAGCACTTCAGTACTTTTTACCCTCCTGATGGAGAAGCAGTGGCAACAGAGCACTCTGTGTCCTCCTTTCCCCAGCAGCTTCCTCCAACTCCTCCTGGGGGAAAACCAAACACTCCCACGCTTGCTGGCAGATACTGTGTTGTTGACTGAATATGCTTTCCCTTTTTTGCTTACGGTAATTCCTTCCTCTCTCTTCTTGTCTTGTCTCCCCTCAGGAAGCGACTTCAAATAAGTGAAGGAAGGGTACAGAAGTGAAAAGAATGATTTGCTTAATAGTCTGTGTCCAGTTCAATTATTATTATAATTATTAATATAATTATTAATTATTAATTATTATAATAATATAATTATTATTATTACTGTGTCAGTTCAATTATTCTAAATTCTGTCACAGTTCTACTTTGTATGAAGTGCATTGGGCGAATCACAAGCCAAATCATTGTTTGTATTCAGCTTGTTTCCCAGGGGACACTCTCTCAAACTTTCTCAGTTGGGAAAAATTCAGATTCATCCGATATTCATCTAGTGTTGACAATAAGTGACATGGCCCTGTAGGATCTTCCCGCCTTCCCTTCAGACACATACTGTATCTCCCAGTAGCATACCTAGAAGCTGTTTTTGTCTGCAACAGCACAAACATCAGTTTGTGGGTCACATAGAGGAAATGAGGAAACGGGGAGGGAAAGAAGAAACATCTTAAGAAAAACATCACACACCTGTCATCTCTCCAGCATCTCATCACAGCTCTCTTCAGGGAGTCAAAAGGAGATCCTGGATGTTCCCAAATCCTGGAGGTCAGCAGAAACAACATGTTTTTTTAATGATATAATATACTCTTCGTAAATTTGAATAATTGTTGTGAATTATAAACAATCAAATGAAAGCTTTTAATTCTGAGAAGAAAGTTTCCCCACTCTTCACTCTTACAAACATACAGAATGACTGATAAAGCATGACATGCTGCCATACAGTTACATTCTCTCTTCTTTTTATTATGTCACTGCTTTGAGAAACTGTACCTGGTTTATAATGAGTTGATGAGAAGCATCTCAGGTTGTCGACCTGTATAGCTGTTAGATTATAAGAAACAGAAGATTTGCATTAAATAAACAGAGCATGGATCTTACAAGTCTTTACAAGATTGGCTAGTTGATCCTTTTTTACAATATTCTATAATATTGTGATAGAATTTACTACATCATGTTTGGACAAACTAGAGCAATTTCCTAACAATAAGGTATCTGACTTGTGACAAACTCACAAATAAGGATGAATATACAAACAGTGAAATGTGTAAAACTACTTATCCTGCAGCATAAGCACGATGATCTCTGCAGCAGTGTTATCTTCTAACAGGTTGAAGGAGGGAAACATGGATTAAGTTTCTCACAGGGTTGAAGGATTACTTTCCTAGTTTATGGGCTTGTGTTCTCTTCTCAGAGCCTCTTGGTAGGTAGACACTGTGGAAGGTTGTGTTCAAATGTTTGTATGATGGGATGTTTAAATCTCATAATGCATTCAGGTTTTGTTTGAAAAACGAAGTGACAGTGAAATGCACTTCAAGTCTGATGTTTGTCCTTTGCCTGACGCCTTTAACCTTTAATATCTTTTAAACCTTTTAAGAGTGATTTACACAATAGTTTGCATTTGAGGGGCCTTTGTAATTTTGTTATTTCATCTATCTAATAATTAGAATAAAATAAAAGATTTAAATAGACAAACACCAGGGATATTCAGAATCAAAGCCTATTTCATTTAAGGAATATATACACAATCATTATTTTTGTTAACTAATAACTAAAGAGAGGATTCTTCTTTGACACCCAAACGAACATTTTGTTTCAGAAACTTTGTTAAAAGAAAGAAAACAAGAACATGGTCATTGTGCATTTTGCCCCGGTGTGAGCGGTAAGGTCTGTATATAACACAGATACTCCACTTTAATAATTCACTCTTTTCCCATTTCAAATGAAGTTGTGAAAGGATCTTTAAGCTTTTCGTTGTCACAGATTGAGGAGCAGCCACAATACCAAATAAAGGACAAAAACAAAATAGAAGTCGGCTTTAGGCTCGAGCCACTTCAGTTAAAAAGATCAAGTTTGAAGCGGCCAGTAATCTAATGACTCTAGAGATAGATGACCTGACCCATCTAAGCAATGTTTTTTTAGGGTTTTCACAAAAGTCATAAACAAATACTTGTAGTTAGATTAAAATTAAAAGCATAAAGAAATCTATTCTTCTGAATTTTAACATATAAACATCAACACTGGCAGAGACTGTAAAGAGTTAAATACTTTTTAATTAGAGATTTTCCATAAAAAATGTCACAAAAAAACAAATCCTTTTAACCAAACATGTAAAAAAAAGTGAATGGGATTAATCGAAGGTCTGTCCATCTCATTGACAGAGCTCTTTTTGTGCTTTGCACATACACAAACACATAACAAACTAAAGATTGTCCAGAAGCCAAAGGGGGCTCAATGATTGCATTATAGTCTCAGTTCGCTGGGATTTCTTCTGGCTCTGAGCATTCAGCCAATCATGTGAGACTGTTGTAGACTTTGCAGTGCAGGTATGCCAGCTTCTGAGCCCTGCTTTTTCTCAGCATTGGAAACCACTCCTGATAGCTGAGGTCTACAACCCTGTAACCTGCCAACTTCAACTGCCTCCTCTTCATCACATGGAGCCCCAACAAATGTTGGGATTGATAGAAGTAGTGGTTTCTGCTCGGGACCTGGATAGCAAGTTTGACTGGGCCTTTAGAGTCCTGAAGGGCTGAGCGACTGGGCTTGATAAGAGCTTCAGTAATGTCACTGGTCAGGTCAAGCCCTGTATTAAAAAGACTATCACCTTCATCTTGATCCACTCTGTGAAGAGATGTAGGTTTTACCTTGTAAGAGGAGGTTAAAGGTTCAGTGGATTTTTTGGAATTCATTAGCTGTGCTAATAGATCATCAGTTAATGTCACTCCTAAATTCTTCTTTCCCCAACCCTGGTTAGGAGGGGATTTGGTTGAACTGTCCTCATGAGGTGCAGTGGGTGCGTGGGATTCTGGGTTCACAGGTATAGGCAGTCCAGTGGAGTCCAAATGTACTTCCAGGTCGATGGAGCGAGTGTGGGGCAGAATCATTCTCTTATGTACATACCTCTCTCCTCCAAGGAGATCCTGCAGAGCAGACTCTGCCTCCTGAACCTCCGGTTTCAGGCAAACATCTGATTGAGCAAACTTCCACAGCATTTTTGCCACATCCTCTTTAAGTTCAGAGCACAGCCGTGGGCCGGTCCACTGAGGCAACTCCAGCGCCACAGCTCCATCTAAAGTGAGCAAGTCTTTTTTCAGCTCCAGCTGTTTGGATTTCAGTGCTAAGTTGACAAAGTCAGGACTCAAAGCCAATTCGATTAAGTCCTTTGGGAACTGAGAGACAAAGACCAAGCCTAGAAGGCCAGTTAGCAGATGCTCTGGGTATCGCTGGAATTCAGCTTTCCTCTGCCTCAGGGCTGCTATTAGGCTAGGATAGAAACTCGAGCTCTGAACTGATTGAAACCCTAATGTCCCAAAGGCCCACAGCAGTTTGCAAGAGTCTTTAATCCTGCAGTGCGACGCAAGGGAGGGAACTCTCTCTGCAATTGCCATCAGGATGTTATCATTGTGACAGTGCAGCGCTGAACAGGTCAGTGCCACATGCATTAGTCCCTGGATTCCCATCCTGTGGGCCCGTCGAGGGACTTCCTGGGCCATTGCCTCCATCCAAAGCCTGTGATACAGGTAACTGAATCGCAGGAATTTCAGTACATTGACCATAGCAAAGTCACTCATCTCCTCCACTACAGAGTGAGCCTTATCAACAATACAAGTCACAGCAGTTTCAGATATTGACGTCTGGGACTTAAAGAGCCCCAAACATACAATACCAACCTCCTCTGGATACAATTGTGGTAAATGTAGCATTAGAAGCTGTTCTAGAGGACGGATTAAGTCTGTTGGGCACTTTCTGCCCTCTCCCATTATAAACAAAAGTTGCACCAGCTCAGGGACTCCAATTTGTCCCAGATTCAGAAGAACTGACTTGTACAGGTGGGTTAAGAACTGGGGGACCCTCTTTCCAATGCAGCGCCACAAGTAAGCAGCTAACAGCAGATGGTCTAAGTTCATCCGGTGGACCCGGCGGGTCAACTCAGCCTCATACAGACTGAGGACCGCGTGTTTGGAGGGCATGTCCAGCCACACGAATGCCTGCAACACCTCCAGTAGCTCACGTTCAGTAAAGAGGCGAAGTAGTTCCACAGAATATCGAAGGAGCATGATGAAGCGCTGATCACTCCTCACTAATGACATCTTGTCTGGATGTAAGCGGCTGAGCTCTGTAAAAATCTGAGACACATCAGATGTTTTCAAGCTGCCCTTTAAATCAGCCACTTTTTTCAGCAGCAGAACGGCCTCTTCCCATTGGATCGGGTAAGGCCTCAGGGTAAGGTCAAGGGTGACAGCAGCATACGCTGACCTACATTTAATGAAGGCACGTATATCTACTGCATCATCTGGCGTCGTGGGTTTTCTGTGGTGGGATAACACTGACGGGGTCTCCAGTTCAGGGCTTTTGTTGAAGGCTGTGTCAAGAAGAGTGTTTTTTGAGCTGGAGAGATATCGAGAGCAACTCACATTGTAGTGATTGCTCTGTTGGCAGAAGGTAGATGTTAGAGAGGAGGGACACTGTTCATCCTCCTCATTGTCCATGGAGGCTGCAGAGTTCCACATAGAGTGATGGTATGAGGTAGGGTTGTAAAGCAGCCTGTATCCTTGTAGTAAAGAGGCCTCCTGGTCTTGCAATACTCCTTCCTTTCCTTCAAGATCATCAGTCTCATCCAATCGTTTGACATGCACATGCTGAGCCTGGATGAATTCCTTTCTCAAGGCCGGGAGGCAGCGTAGCCTGGGCATCCGTCGACATAGTACACAGGAAGCCATCATTTTTCCAAACTAAAAAGATAAGAAAGGCATGGTTAGAGATAGCTTTCAAATGTCAACAGAACATCTAAATCAGATCAGCTCAAAGTTTAAGTTCATGAATTTTTGTACAGATATTGTTTACATTCCATTTAGTAAGAAATACGGAAAATATTCAGGCTGAACTTTAAGAATTGAATAAGTGTTACCACTGGGAAAGTCATTTACCCCCAAAAGATGTCTCAGACTGGAAGCCATAATAGGGTTAAACTTCTTTAGACATACAACCCCCTGAGACATGAAACTTGGCTGGATCAGAGGGAAAGCACTGCATAACAGATCCAAATAACTGAAAGGCAACAGCTGATGCCTTGTTTTTAAATTATTAGCACATGAAGTGAAAAGTTAATAGCTTCTGGGGAACCAGGAAGTTTCCCAATGTTGCAATTGGTTGACTTTTTAGGATGACCAAACACCAACTTTTGGGTGAAGCGGTGTCAATATGTGGCCATTTTTATGTGTGCATTTTCAGTTCCTCCAATTTTGTTTTAGGGTTTAAATATAACAAGATATAAGGCATTTTTGCAGTGTACTTTATCTATTGATCAATTTTCAATTTCAATCAATTATTGACTAATACATGTATGTGTGTCTATTTGTTTTCTCTTATTTGTCTAATGTGTTCAGCACTGTTTTTGCTCTTATGTGCATTTGTGTGGGTCTGTTTTTTCCCCTACTTGTATTTCCTTAGCATAAGGCTAACTCATCTGCACTGTATCTTCAGCTTACTTTTTCTTTGAACATCACCTTTTATTCAATCTATTTACATTTTGGGGGGCTGTTTTAATGCTCATTGTTTCATATTGAATATTACTGTTCACTAGTTTTAATACAAAGGTCGGCTTATTTTCTTTGCCTTCACACAACACTTACAAATGTCTCTGTGCTTGACTTGTGCTGCAGGATTGCTATGTCCTTGCCTTGCATTCAATCTAAACCATGGCCAAAGGTACTAACTCTAATTTCAGACAATCACTCTTATATTTGTTTTTACTCTATGACTTTAGCGAGAGTGTCTAGCCCTAACTTAAACCCTGACAAATGCCTGTTAGCTTCACACAGAGTCCCCCAGCACAAAGCTAACCAGCTAAAGTAGTAGGTACATTTATTTAGTATCCAGAATTGTGCTCTGACAGGCACGTTTAGATAATTTGTCTTTACCGACGATAACAGGGAAAATGCACATTTCAGTGTGAGTGAGGTTTCAGTAGGTAACTTTAACATTCATTTGGGCTAAGTTGGATGTGACCACTACATACATAGGCTAAGTGAAATAAATACCGTTGACCATAAAATATACCAAAGCCCGTTGACTTAACTCACCTTTTACTCTCCAGAATCAACATCAGCTTTATTTATGTGTTTAAACGGCCACATTAATATAAAGCACGTCCTAAAGGTGGTGGCAAACAGGCATGCTGTAATTACACCGGAGCTCAAGTTGTAAGACCTTCAAAATAAAACACATCTAGACTTCATGGGCCAGAGAATGTGAGCGACAGGAACTAAAACAAGTTGAAATGTGGTGTTTTGGTTCACAAGATATATTATAGTTACGTACTTTCACAGTTAAAATTGATTTATTAAATAAAGAATTGTGTCGGATTTATGAATAACATTATTGTGGCAGGTTGATGTGGCTTCCGTGGAGAGACTGACATAGTTTGACCTACGGTAACTGGGTAGGCTCAAATGTTATGGCGACGAAACGCAAAACTTATAACTATATAATAACTTCAAAACTACCGTTACAAAAAGTTTGCGTAGCCCGTTACTGTGTATCTAAATAATAGCGATCCACCCAATTATTTTAAACAAAAAGCCTCTTTTTTTCGTTATGTACAGCTGACTGAAAGGTCAGTTAATCGACATTTATCGGTTTGAAAAGGACATACTGAAAACATTCTTCAACATTAACATATTTGAAAACGAATAGCTCTTAAACAAAACAAACAAAAACACATTTTAAGGGCTTACTTTTTTAAATATTAACTACATTTTTATATCATCTACCTTAGGAACAAATTATGCTGTTCCTATATTTTGTAAAGTTGAATACTATTTAAAAAGATAATTGGAAACCTCTAGTTAGAGAATTATTTTAAGGTTAAAAAAATGTATTTACATTAGCAAAGCACCTGTTTTGATTTTATTAAGCTTACACCAGTATTCAATACCCTAAAGTAATTACACAAATGATTGTACTGCTAAGATTGTAGATGTTTCAGAAAAAGGGGTAACTGTTTTTATTTTTTGCAAATGCTGAGTATGCATGGCTCTGTTTCCAGCCCTATATTTTTTATTTTGAGATGTGATGTGAATACGTGTCCTTCTTGAGCAATGTTTAGAAAGTTTAGTCTAATTTATAAAATGTCAAACTTATTTCTGATCATCACTCTGTACTTATCACATTTTAATAACATCAATGACAAAGTAAATGTATTAATTAAAATACATTTGTAATATTTTTTCATAAATATAGGAATAACAAGAAAATAAATGTCTTCACACTGATTTTCTGTTCTTTAAGGTCTGTAAAGAAATCTCAGAATTTAGCTGTGAATTATTTTGTTTCAAATGAAAAAAATTGAATATTAGTTTTTTCGTTTCAGAACAACTTATTTATCAGACATTAGCCTATAACTCCATCAAATGAAAGATGAATCTAGTTTTTCATAAATTAGTTTTCAACTGTGTTCCTTCCTGTGGACCTATTTCAGTCAACTGGCCCTGCAGTGAATAAAGTTAACTTGTTTATCAGAACATTTAGAAAATGAAGATTATTCAAGTAAGAAAAATGCATCAAATGTCTTCTTCATGTGATGGAAATTAGATATTTATGTTAACAGAATTGCCACCTCAGTATTGATCACTATTTAACCTGATTTTAATGCTCAAACTAGAGACTTGTTCTTAAGTGAAACTAGTCTTTGCATTAGAGATAGTTAAGATCTTTTTGGAACATTATATTCATTTTCATTTACAATGTATTTCTATTATTCAGTAGACTTAAATTGTTATAGTTAAACTTTACACAAACAGGAATAGTTGATTATTATAATAATTAGCATTTAAATCTAAATGAGCATAACTTTTTAATTCTCTGCTACTTATTTCTGTGTGAAGAGAAGAGAAACTTGGAATTCTGTGCCTCCATTGTTTGACTTCATACATGACTGAATATAGGGGTTGAAAAGTGAACTAGTTAGGTCTTTGGTCCTAGAAAGACAATTCCTCGCATTTAAAAAAGGAAAATTCCTCACATCCCTTCAGTGGGAGGAGCCATTGCAAAGACACTTGGGTGGCAGTAGCGCTTGATTTTTGTCCTGCTTCGATTAATCAGTTACTCTTCCTATCCAGATGAGCAGCCACATATGGCTAACATTAAGTTTCATACTGTAACAGCATATAGAAAAGACCTCAAATACAAGAATGTGGCTTTCGAGTTAGACTTATTTGTGGCTTCAATGTGACACAAAAGCTGACTGGAAACACATTTGCTGTTAACTTTCAATTTGTTGGAAATTATTAAAATAAAAAAAGATCCAAATTCAGGTTTGCTATCAAAACGAAAATGTGGTACTTAAGAGAATGTGTATAGACTTAATGTTTAAGACTGTATTCAAATGATAATATTACTGAGGATATATTTTCAGCTATAAGCTTTAGTCAAGTCACTTTATATGCTAAAGTTTAAATGACAACTAACAATACTGGTAGCGTTGAGACTTCTGGTAGGCTATGTATTTACCCATGTTAATACAGATCATTTATAACATTGTATTGCTCATGGCATCAAGTGAAAAATACTTGATAAAAAGGTAACATTTTTATAGGCTAATTTATATTCATGTTAAATGTAGTTTGTTATTTCAAAGATTCAGCTACAGCTGAAATGGATCATTTCAGATAACAGATTAAAGGCACAATTGGTTAAATGTTTTCCAAAGAGACATGCAATAATGTTTACTTTGATTTTGTGAGTTATTTTTCGTTAGGGTGACTGGATATGTTTATTTATAGCCTATCGTGTTTCTATATTAATTGAATATATTTTCGTTAACCATGCGCTGGAATTTTTTTAAATGAAGTTATAAAACTTGTTGTGCTCGACTTGTGTAACTCTTGTATAACCCATTTGTTCCCTTGTTTGTGTGTTGTTGTGTTTAGTTTTTTCCCTTTTTTTAATTGATGAGGACTTAACGGTAGTTCATATTTTACTACCTCTGCCTGTTTATAACAATCTAATCTAGTCATTCATGTGAAACTTGAGATTCTGGAGAGGAAGTAGTTGATTTATGCTAATGAAGGAGTTGGGGTTTAGCTCCGCTGGCTGGGAGCCGCCCTTCATTCACCACATGGTTGAACCCAGACTCTACTCGCGCCACTTTCGCAATCTTACTACGATTCCCAAACTCCTTGCAAATCATAATAGGAGCACATGGTTGTGTTTTTGGATTATACGTCCTATCTGATACTCAATTCACAGTGTTTTTTTTTTCTTTTTTCAGTTTCGTAGATACCTCTGCAACAGTGTGAGTAAACGGTAAGTCTGTACAAGTGAGTGAAGATGGTGGATTTTTTAGAAGCTAGTGTCTTATTACGCGGATGTTATTGGCAAGAAACCTGTTGTTAGCCTTTTCGGGAGATGAGGTAAATGTGAAAAAAGTGTAATGCTTTTCTCTGTATGCAAAACCAGGGCCACACATTCACGTTTCTTCTTGGAAAAACGTTTAAATTGCCAGTTTCCGTATTTGAAAACAATGTTGTAAGGGGCGCATGGCAACCTCTCCTCCATGGTTGGAGAATGAGGGAGATTTGAAAAGCATGTGTTGCTGCTGCACCTAAAGTCGGTACCACGGGGACGTGAAATTACCCGTTACACACTTTGATAGTAGATTAGAGTCAGATACTATTGTGCTCTTGTTGTCTGTCATTTGTTAGTAGTATTGTAAAGTTTGCTGTCGGTTTGTGCGCTGCGATGTACATTTAAAAGTGCCTCCAGAACAAAGCAGCAGCACATGGGGCTGAAGCAGGCCGCGCCGAGTCAGCTAGCCGCAGATGCTAACAAACCACACGAGAAGATAAATCATTACGTTACAAATAAAATGAAAAACATTGGCCCAGACTGGTCATATTGTAGGCTTAAGCCAAGTGAATACTTGTTGTTTGCAGGCACTCTGTAACAAAGGCTGATATGTAATATGGATGTGGGTTAGCCTGTTAGAGAAAGTAGCTAACTATGCTAATACAAGAGAATGCTCCTTAGTAATTGTAGTGTTTTAGTCTGCTTCATTGGTGTGTGTTGAGTATTTTACCAACATACCACGTTATGACATCGATAATATGTGGCAGCATACGTAGCATATGAGCTATATTATCTTTCACAGAGCTAACCGTACTCACAGGTTACACGCGTTAGCCTCTTTAGCTAGCACATGCTCGCACTGGAGTGTTTTGATGGAGCCCTCGGGTGTGCAGGATTCTTACTTAAGTTTGCAGTAGCTCGTATCATACGCTTGGTGCGCCTGGTCACAATGAGCGCACACTGCACATCCACCTGATATTATTCGTGTACAGATATTAGTGCGGGTCAAATGTAGTTTTACTTGACTGATAGTGTAGTCGGTGGACGTAGATTTATAAAATGCGGACTTGTGGGCGCCATGTTAGTGTGTGGGGGAGGGGTATAGCTCTGTGACCATCCACCAACACCACGGCTCCTTGTTCACACTCACAGGTTTCACATTGAACTTTGTCAAGACATTGTAACACCTGGTTGTTTGTTATATCATCATATGAATCCACACAGGCTTACTTTAGTATCACCTGTACTTTCTTCTGCATCCAAAACACTGACTATTAATTTGGCGGGTTGGAGGAAGCCCCAGTCACACGAATTGAAGGGCTTTGTTCAAAATAGTAAAAAAATATGAGCACAACTCACAACTAGAAAAAGCATTAATAAGCGATATTCATAATTTTTTTTTTTTTAAGTTAAACACTTCAAGAAATGTGCCTAAAAGTTTGAGTTTTGCCAATGCAGTGTTCCAAAATTAGTCAACAAGATGTTTAGCAAAAAAAAAAGCATTATATGACAACAGAACTAAAAAAAGAACGTAGAACAGCATGTTGCTTTATCTGCATCAAAAACTGGTTTGTTTTCCCATTATTTAAATTCCTTTTGCAATTATATGAAATGTTTGTGGTGTAGAGATCATGTTATCTAACAGACAAACAGCACTGTTACCTTAACCCCCTTTCTCGTGTTAACAAAACGTCCTACATAACAGGGGTCACTTTGAATTGAATGAACTGCTAAATGCTATTATACACATGTAGCTGGTCCAAATAACTGACAATGTTGTCTTTATTTGTTTTAATAAATGATCATTCATTAGATAAAATGGTTTACATTGTTTGG